CTGCTTCAGGCCTGAACAAGCCTGGCCTTCCCTGGCAGGCAGGAGAGCCCTGGACTTGCTGGGCCTAAAGCTGCTGGTGTGTGGACAACATGTGAAAAAAGCATGGCCTGGACTCAGGGTTCAAACACACAAACATCAGTCATTTTTGCCCAGATGCTGACCAAATCTTAGAACTGTAAACCTGCACACATCCATTGTATGTACAGGAGAGAACGGAGGGCTATCAGTGTGAAACACTACCAGTTCCTGTGCTTTGAGGGAGGCACTGCTGGAGGCTGCTCGTTCACCAGAGATCAGCATGTGTCTGTCAAACACTGCTGGTGGAATGTCTCTGTCAGTCACGTTCATGGTGATGCAGAAGAACGATGATTGATTGCATTCTTAGGTTACAAAACTACACTTTAAACTATACCCTGGCTGATATGGTATATCCACAACTCATCAACAAGTATCTAAGGAGCAAAGACATCGTTTTCTTCCATACAAGCACTATCAGGAATGATGTACAGTGGCTACTGTGTGCTGAGACAGACATGCAAGATGCCACAAACCCATAAGGACTGTTGCAATGCTGGCCTAGGTGGGGGAAAAAAAAAGTGTGCCTAACTGCCCACACAATTTCATAATGGCTTTTGCCTAAAAGGTCAGGCAGTAAGTATTCTAGGCAGTGTGGATCATTGTCTGTTAGTGGTTCTGTTACTTCTGGTTATCCAGTTCAAACAGTGAAAACCCACTTGTCCAATCTCTGGTGTATTCTTGTACCATGTGCACTGGGTCGCTGCTTCAGGCAGGTGTTTCATGCTTTCAGGTGGCTTAAACTACACCGGGATCAGACAGGACGGGCCTATTGGGTGTGAAAGCTTCAGGGTCTCCTTGTCACATGCCTGTGCAGCTGCCAATCTGCAAGTTAGGTGACGAGCTGAGGCCAACACACTGAAAGCCTGGGAAAGGACAACTGGGTGGGAGAAGGTAATGCCAGTGGAACTAACCCAATGGCTCAAACCAAAGGACAAAAGCACACGTCCCTTTGGTCCCTTGGGTGCTATAAGGTGACTAGCCCTGCAATGCATCCCTTGTACATGACAGGAGTCTTCAGAATTTTCAAGAGTTGAACTATTTTTGAAAGTAGTGTCAAATGGCTAGTCCCCCAGTTCTGCTGTGTTTAAGTTTTAAAAAATATCTTTTCCTTGAAATGGATTTGGGAGCAGATGTAGGTCAAAGTACCTGCTGTGTGAATACGAGGACTGCTTTGGGTATAGACACTTCATATTTCAGGCTTCCAACATTTCAGTGGATAACCAGCCATTAGAAGACAGAACAATAGGCAAGATGGTGGGAGAATGTCTCCCTCACTTACCCAGAGATCAATCTTCAGTACTGTCCACTAATTAGGGTACAAGGTCCTCATTTTTAAATTTTTGACATGATACTCAACCCAATGCAGAATAGAAACTTACATTTGAGTTTGGGGTTGGGAAGGACTCACACCCTGGAAGCTGACATACTCTGATAGACAGATCTAGTCTCTAACTCCCTAGTCATAACTCAGGTGAAACTTTTTTCTTTATTTTTTATAGCAGTTAAAAAACTACTATTTTGTTAGCTTGCCTCTAATAAAATTACTTTGAAAGTGTGTGATTGAAAACAGATCAATGGTAACTCATTATAAACAGTGCTTTGGTTGTCATGAGACTTGTTTCCATGCTGTGTGACTTCCCCATAACTAAATGCCCACTAGAAGTACCCCCAGCTAGTCTCATCAGAGACAGTCTTGGCTTATTTTAGTAAACGAGTAAAGCCAGAGGCAGTTCTACGATTATGAACTATGGGAGTAGGACAGGGGCAAGGCCACAGAATTTTAGAAATCCAAAGACACCTTGCTCAGGGGTTCTGGTCTACAGGCTGTGGTGCCCTCATGGTGGACCTGGGGTGAAGGATTTAAAAGGAGATGCACTTTTTGTTCAGAGCTTACTTGAGAGCTGTCTCAATGACATGCCTCTTACAGCAAGAGCATACAACATGTGCACAGGCCAGCACGGAGATGGGAGCCAGGAAACAGAAGAGGAATAAAAATTTATCCCTAAAAGCAGTTATTTTCTCAAGCAGGGGTCATTTCAAAGATGTAAATTTAGTTATTTCAGGCTTTGTGGGCTTCATGGCCACTTCTCCGGTATTTAGTCTACATCATGGACAATCAGTAAGCAAAAGAGCATGGAATGTGCCAACAAAACTTAATTTATACCCGGGAGTAGCCAGCCCAGTTTGCATGTCTGTGACTGCTCGTTTGAGCTAAGAGGCCTGAGCTGGCTGACCTGAAGCCACAGGGATGGAGGTGGCTCCTTGGCCACTGGGTAGCTTCTTGGATTGTTCAGTCTGTTTCTGGTATTGTTACAATTACAGACTTGCTGATGGCAACACCGTGGCATCTCATACCATGCAGCACGCTGTCACTTCCTATGGGACTCTTAGGTCACTAACCAATGAGTGGTAGCTGTGCCCTCACTACAGAGGCTGTCACAAGGCTGGAAACAGGCCAAATGTTGGCTCACAGTGTCTATCTTGCAGTGATACTTGCTGATGACTTAGGTGCATGGTGGGAAATTCACCTGTGCTGGGTGATGCACTGGGTCCCTGGGGAAAGGGATGAATAACTCTTCTCTCTAAGCCATTACAGAATGGTGAGGCATAAACCCCACAGTTCAACTGTGGTTTAGAGAGGACAGTGGAAAATCTTCAATTTAAGAACTCTACTCAAACAAAAAACAAGACCAGCAAGACCCAGGGAATCCCAGGGACTAGCAACTGTGGATCAACAGACTCAGGTAGCATTCCTATGCAGGAAGTTCCCAGAACAGAGAAGGGTTTGGGGCCTTCCAAATGCACTGACAGATTGTAACATATCTGAAGAAGTGTCAGAATAAAACTCTGAACCCCCATCAAAAGAGCAGGCCCCTCCCAGGGAACTCAATAAGAAAGAAAATGGATCTCCCAAAGAAGGCTGCACTCTAGGAAAGCTACACAGAGCTTCTCTGATAGTTTCTGGGGCATCTTCCAGCTTCTGAACAGAGGGAACCAGTCCTCTGGGATCAACTCCAGCTCCAGCCTTATGACAGCCACTTTACTGAGTGTAGGGAGGGCCAGAAGCAGAATGCCTTTCAGACTCAGCATCAAAACTGTGGGACAGAGCGCACTGCAAATGGTGGCAAGTCATATAAGAAAATGGCTACAGGAAGGGAGGAAAACAAAGAGACTGGAGTCAGGGTCAAACCTGGAGATGCTGAGGGGATAAAATCCCAGCATGCTCTGGGTAGAGAAAAGGCCTAGAGCTACCGGCATTTTGCTTTTGTTTCCTTTCTTCTATTAACAAAATTAACCAGGTCAGCAAGAATGAGATTACTTAACTTGACTGTGCAATTTTATAGACTGTATAAATAATTTTATAGGCTGTATAAATATAAAGAAATGCAGTTACTATCATCAAGTGGAAGCTGATTTTCCAGATGCTTACGTCATCGTTAGGTGGTTATACACGAAACACTTCCACACAGCCTCTTCAAATGCAGCCTACCTCAAAGTGAACCTTTAAAACAGAAAACACTATCAGGAAAGTAATGGAATGAATCATAAACTGGGAACTGAAAGCGTCCCACCAACTTAGCACTCACTCCTTCCTCCCCTAACCTAACCCAAGCACCTTACAAGGACTCCCCAGGCAGCCAAGGGCACCTCATGTGTACAAGTATCAGTACACCTGACATTAGTAAGCCTCGGCTGTGTAAGTCACTACAACAACAATATCCAGTGACAACTACAGCAAAAGTTCTTTTAAGCCTTAAAACCATCTTTTAAGATTCAACGAACCTATTCAAAACATGTTAATGCTTCTGTGCAACCCAATGCTGAGGGAGAGTTGGCAGCACACACAGCAGTCTCATTATGATAGGTAGCTTGTAAATGGTCAAGGTCAAAGGTAATAATAATAAAATAATAATAATAATAAAATGGGGAATGGGGAAAGGGAGGAGGAAGAGGAGGCTCATGGGACACAGAGGTGACATTAAAAAAAAAAGAAACTGATGACTTTCATTATCTGTGAAATTCAACATCATTCTGAACTTCTCATGAATCAAATGTTCCAGTCCTATAAAATTATCAGAAGTTTCCATTATCTGCAGCAAACTGTTAACAATATCAAAATAGGTAGAAGGTCTGTTTTATCATGATTTGCATATAAAAGAAATTCATCTGGGTTGATCTAAAAAGTCTAAAACAATCTAAATAGAAACTTTTAATAAGAAGACCAGAGCAGCAGCTGTCCCACACCAGCCTATTTTGGTGACAGAACACGTCAAAGCTGACTGAGGCTTCAGCACCCCAGGGTTTGCTGACTGGCCCAATGGAAATGCCGAGTATACACTGTTATCATGGAGCAATGCTGTAGGCACCAAGTAAAGCCAATGGGGCCATGTCAGGCTCCACCAAGGAAAGGCAAACATCACTTTCAATTATTGCGGTTCTCATTTCTGAGTCATGGGACAGAATGACATGGTAGGGGGAGGGGTGACTCTGCAAGTGTTTGGCCATGAAAATGGAACTATCAATTTGAATAGATACCTACTCCAGGCAAAGACACTGACATCAGAGAGTCCCACTGAACTTCACTCATCTGTGTGTGGTGTGGCTCCATTAAGACTCTGGGCAGCTTCTGTCAGTTGCCTGTGTGCCTGGTTTCAAGGCCACTGCTCACACCTCTCCCAAGTCTGATGTGGAAGTCTGCTTAGAAATGCACATGGAGACTCTGAATGACTTTCAAACATTCTGACCATTGCTAACTACTCAGCTCACAGATGCACTGCAAGGAGAAGAAAGAACTTTACTATGAAACTAGTACCAGAAGATACTTGTGGGTAGCGACCATGTGCATGTAAGAAGCATACGGACACGCCTAAGCCTTCCCACTGCCAGAAAGAACATCTCAACTTGCAATGAGCAGGGGTACTTTGTGTAAGAAAGAAAACAGGAGTTACTCATCCTAACGGTCAAACTACCTTCATGTTAGTAGTTACAGAGTTTGGGACAAAACAAAACAAAACAAAACAAAAACAAAACAAAAAACCAACAAAAGAGACTGCAGGACATCTTTGACCCATGGGCACACAAATTTGAGAACATGATCTGAAATGATTTAAAAAATAAAAAGATGAAGGGGTGATCAACAATGAGTTTTGGAAGAAAAGTAACAGAAATATTATAATAATTATAAATCCCCTGCATTCTCCACATACCATAGAAAAGATTTGGTTCAGCTTTCAAATATCAATCAAATAAAAACCAAACAAGACAGAGAGGGAGTTGTGCTGCGGACTGCACCTGTCTGGGGCGCACAGGCAGCTGCTGACGGCTCCTCGCTCGCTCGCTTGCTCGTCCAAGTGTGGTGGCAGCCTCCTCAGTGACAGAACAAGTGCTTGTGCGTCAAGTATAAAATACAAGCCTTTAGTCACATACATCAGCTTCTTAGCTTTTGTAAATTTTTAAACAAAAAGGATAAATAAGGCACTGTACTTCTTAAAATAAAAACTGCTTGGTTCCAAGTTTAAAACCCAAGGAACAACCAGAAAATAACATACAACTTTCTTAGCCCCAGAGAAGAACTCTACAAGTTCCCTTCTCCAGCTCAGATGCATTTTCTGACATCTCAAACTGGCGTTCCCCATAACTACAACGAGAAAGGCTTGATAAGCTTATAAAAACAGGCTCTGTTAATCCACAAAGAAAGGTTGCTTTCCTGGGCCCGTTCCTCAGTGGCTATCCAGCTATCACTTGGCTTCTAACCGCCTCCGCTTGCCCAGGGAAGAGTCCAGTTTGGCCTTGAGCTTTCTTTTTCTCGGGGCAGTCCGGTTCTCTGGACTTTTTGCCAGGGGTCTGGCTCGGCCCCTCCCACTGCTCAGCTTCCGGTTTCTCCTCCCGGCCTTTGGGGTCTTTGTAGAGGCTTCTTTTGCACCCCTTTGTTTTGAAGGCCTTGTCAGCGCTTCGGAGGCTGCCGTGGGATGGCCAGGTCTTCTGTTCGCATTCTCTTTTTCTTTCCTGGATGACGGGCAGCTCCTTCCAGGACCCTTTCTACAGACTCTCACTTTATTTTCTTTCAAGGTCATCTTCTTGGATAGTTGGTTGGCTCTGTCCTTTGCAGCTAGCTTCTTGGCAGAAAGGCCTCTGCTGGCTTTTGTTGCCGGCCCCTTGTCCTTACCGTCTTGAGTACCGGAGCCTTCTGCTCTTTTGCGCTTGTTCTGACCTTCCACTTTAAGCAAAGTTTCCGGCATCTGCTTCCCTCTTCTCCCCTTGCTTCTTTCAGCCCTCTTGGGGTTGACGGGAAACCCATCTGCACCCACCTGGAGGGCGAGCTTGGGGGACATTAGCGGGTTGATGCACACACTCTTGCGGCCCTGCTTAATTTCAGAAGCCCCACCCAGTGAGCTGTCTAGACGCTGTGCTCTGAGCTTTCCTCGAATATTCGAATACTTTCTAAGGATCCGAGTGCTGGCTGGAGTAGGCAAGTTGATGGGAGGATGGCTTTGTCTACCTTCCCTGACTTCCTCCACACTGTCTTCACTGTTAGGGCCAAGACTGATATCACTGGCAGCTTCTGGGTCTACCTGGTCAGGATTCTCTCGTAACTTAGCCCATAGCTTCTGTGTCTTCCAATTATTCTTAGCAGGAATGGCTCCAGGGAATTTCTTTAAGTGTTTTTTCAAGCGCTCTGCCTGTAGTGAACTAGGGTACATGGTGGAAGGAGGGTACTTCTGAAGAGGGTGTTTAACAAGGGGGATGTCTCCTGGAAGACGAGTATTCAGTTTCTTCACAATGACCAGCGATCGAGTCTCTGTCGTCTCTAAGAACCACTTACAGATGTTAGACAGCTTAAAGTTTGTCATAAACAGCATCTGAACAGGAGAAAACTTTTGCACCTCCAGTGAGCCCCTACACTTCCGTGACCTCTTCTTGCTCTTCCAAATCTCCTTCAGCTTGTCAGACTTGCTCCTTGCTCTTGCCGTTGGCTGAGCCTCTTTCTCCAACTGGATCCAGCCCTTCTGAACTCTCAGGTACTGGGCGTTGAAGCTGGCGATCAGCTCCTGGTTCTCTTCCTCTGCGCACCATCCCATGAACTTGGGTTGCTCCTCCACCATGTCCGAATCATCCTCATCTAAGGGCTCTGCACTCTCAGAAGCTCCGCTTTCCTTTGGTGCTGGGTTTCCTTGTGTGACTTGCTTTTCTGAAGTCGTTTTCATAGTGTCCAAGGCATCCGCACCGTGAGCGTGTCTCAGGTTGTAGGTAGAAGGCGGTGGTTTCTTAGGCCTTGTAACACATCTTGGTGGCCCAGCAGCATCACCACTCTGACTGGCTGATATCCCAGCTGAGCCACACGGAGCAAGGCCAGCATCGTCTTTATGGTGGGCATCCTCAGTGTCTACCTCACTCCCCGCGGCCTCCCTGTCCTGTATGGCAATGTGTCCTGAGCTCTCTTTTACCTGCTCTGGGTCCCTCTCGCAAGAAATGCTTTCTGAGGGCACATGGGCATCTCTCTCATCTGTCTTGGACCAGACATGGGTTTCCAGGTTGTCCCCAAGCAGTGGCTGGCCAACAGTGGCTGGGTCAGTGTGTGGGGAAGTCCCTCCCTCTTCCCTTTTAACTTCCTTTGCCAGTATGTTTTTAACAGTCTGCCTTGTAATGACGCCAACTCCTTCAGCCTCCTGCTTGGTCTCTTCATCAGAGGAATGTTCACTGACACCAAGGTCTTCAGTGTCCTCCAGATTGTCTGTATGGATGCTGTCAATCACTGGACCCTCAGATGTCACCCCACCAGAGTCCCCTTCTCTTTTAGAATGCTTTACAGCAGGATTTTTAGAAACCTTAATTTCAGAACAAGCAGCAGATGAATCCAAACCCTGGCTTCCTGGGTACCTGTCAGCAGAGGAAGAATCTACAAGCTGACTTCTTAGGCACCTATCAGAGGCCTCAGGGAGCTTTTTAGCCTTTTTCTTTTTATCCACATTCTCTTCAGGTGAGTCAGAGTTTGGTTCACTCGGATCATTTTCTGTTGAGTATTGCATATCATTGTCATGGGCCTCCAGGTGTCCTGTCCCACTTGCCACCTCACCTCCTTCCATCTCGCTTGGGTTCTCATCAGCGACAATGCTGCTCTCCAGGAGGGGCAGGGAGTCATCTAGCAACAGTGTCTCCCCAGGGATGTCTCTGGTCTCAGCCTCAGTGCTAGTGCTGTGGTCATGCTCAGACAGTTCTAGACCTAGGGGAGGATCTAAGGCTGCAGCAAGACTTTCATCTTCTGAGCATGGAGAACTCTCCTCTCTGATGGCTGCTTCAGGAGAAGACTCAGGTCTACAGAGAAGATCTTTACTGTCCTCCCTGGAGGTGAAGGGGATGCTTCCAGCTGTCAGAACCAGGTGGCACTCCTGTGCCTGCAATTCCTCTGGGCCTAGCAGGGAGGCTGGTGGCTGGTCTTGCTCATGGAAAGATGGTACACTTTCTGTGGGAGGTGAGACCACATTGCTGCCTTCTGGCACATCAGATACATCCTCGTTAGGGAGGAGAGCAGGCAGAAGACGTGCTGGACTAGAGGCTGTGGTCTCCCCTGGCCTAGGGGAGCTACCAGGACCCTGTTCACTCATGGTGCAGACTTCTGGCTCTTGATGCTCTTTTACTGATGATGTGTCTTCGTCCCCTTCCTCAATGGAGGTGCTTTCTTTCCTAGGATCATCACAGGTATCTTCTTCCAGAAGTTGCTCACCTTCTTTGGGAAACTGCATATCAACTGTGGGAATTTGCACATCCACTGTGGGAAGCTGGATATCCACTGTAGAAAGTTGTGAACCTACTGTGGGAAGCTGGACATCCGCTGTAGGAAGCTGTGAACCTACTGTGGGAAGCTGGACATCCACTGTAGGAAGTTGTGAACCTA